ATTTTTTTAAAAAAATCTTGGGAACAGATGAAATACCATGAAACTGAAGGCAAGGAGATATTGTCCCTATCTTCAGCAATGCGGGAATAGCCTGACCAATCAACATGATGCTAATATCTAGAAATTTTTTAGAATAGATCATTAGGCATGTGAGCACTTAGAAAAGAATTCTGATGTTACAAAGAGCCAGTATGGATTTCCCAAGAAGAAGTTCCCTAATTGGAGCCAATCATTTCATATTTTCTATCCTTTTAGTTTTCTTGGTAAAAATACAGGAGTGGTTTACCATTGCCTTCTCCCACACAGTATGAATTGATGCCTTTGCCATTGTCACTAAAGTGATAATCTGTCTCCTGCATCTATATCGTTGCTGCCCAATATAGGTGCCTGCTTGATTTAGCTGGCAGCGGGATGACTTCACACCTTTGGTGACCCTGCTGGGAATATATACTCTGGGCATACACTCCTGACATTCTTCATTCATCTCTCCCAGGAACACCCCCTCCCCCCTGCTGCAATGAGGCAGCACAGCAGGTCTTGGGGGTGTAATGGTGTGTGGGATGACCTTGGGAGACAGGGTGGGGGAGAGATGCTGCCTAGGGAACAATAAGATGGAGGAGAGCCCGCAGCTGCATAACGGGCACAGAAACAGACTCAGAAAGGATCTTCCCTAACTTAGGCTGTAAAAAGAGATGGCGAGAGATTTGTACTTTCAGACTTGCAAGATTCTGTTAACGTAGCCTTACAATAAAGTAGAATTAGCTCATCTGGTCATGTTTCCTGTCTGGTCTACTTGAGAAGGCTGACAGAGGGGTGTTGGAATGTTGGAAGAGCTGAAGAACCAGGTTAGGGACAGATCATCATGGAGAACATCTGTGTGGTCACTAAGAGTTGACAAGATGTCATTTTGTGTTTTTTAATGAGATGGGTGATGACAAATTTGATAAATAAATAAATAAATAAATAAATAAATAAATAAATAAGAAAGACTTGATGGCACATAATCAATCAATTGAAGCCAAGGAAAGTTCTTTGGCTATCTTTAACTAGAACCCTAGCTGATATATTTCTTTCCCCTTTTTTTAAGTTGGATTTTATGATGGCTCGCTTGAAGAAGGTGGAGGAGTGTGAACAGGAGCTGAAACAACTGCGGGTGCAAGATGCTGAGGAGTACAACGTTATAAAGATCAAACTGGAGCATGATGTACAGGTGTGAATCAAGAACAATTTACTAGGACCATTTGGGGGATGCTGAGTAAAGCAGGACAATTTGCCCTCAAAAGCAGTGGGAAGGTGATGTTGAGATTGGCAGATTCTTCAGTATAAGTTCCTTATTTCATGTGATAGACACCAAGAAACTGGACAGGCTGATTCACTAGAAGTGGATACCCACAGCACAACCATTAGCGTGTACAGATTTCAGTAAAGTTTTAAAACATCTGAAAGGAAAGTTACATAGATATTTGGAAGTCTTCCAACCTTCCCAGCTCAAGATGAGGATCTTGATGTTCTAATTGTGCTACTTAATATTCCTTCTGCTGTAGGGATGAAACCATTCAACTTCATATTTTGACTTCAGTAAGAGGGCTTTCACCACTGGATTCTTCTCAATAGCTCTGCTTTTTTACTTCCATTCCAGGTCCCCAGGCTAGTCACCTGGTTTCAGATGAGGGTGCTAAAAATTTCAGTGAGTGTGTTTGCTTGGAAAGCACCATCTTGGCATCTCCAAGTATAGGCAGTGCTATTGACGAGTGATGAAAACACTAAAGGGATAGCATTGTTGTTGTTTGGACTGGTTCATATGAGTGGAATTTATGCCACAATCCTTGCTTGTCACTCAGCGTAAAAAAAAAAGGGAGTCTGGTAGCATTTTTTTCTGACTAACAAGTTTTATTTAAAAGGCAAGTTTTCATCAGTGATGTGAGTTGCAGCTCATGAACATTTATGACTTTTAATAAAATTTGTTAGTCAGAGAAAAGGCTACCACAGTCCTGATTTTTGCTACCATAGACTAACATAGCTCTCTTCCTACAATGTTGACTTAGTGTAATATTTCTGTTTGTGGTACCAGATCCTGGAGCAGCAACTCCAGCAAATGAAAGCCATCTACCAACTAAACCAAGAGAAGCTGGAGTACAATTTCCAGGTGCTAAAGAAGAGGGATGATGAGAACACCATCATCAAATCCCAGCAGAAGCGGAAGCTCAATAGGTGAGTAGCTGAACAGCTTCCTTGCTTCATACTTTTATTGTTTTCTCCTGTAGTCACTATCCTTCCTTGGCCTGTAAAGGAAATGCAAATATTCTGAGTTTTGTGTTGGAATGCAACCACAGAGTGCATATCCTCAGAAGCTTCTCAGGTTCTCAAAGGGTAATATAAAATTCTAATGTCTAAAATCCATAATATATGAATAATGGAAGCCATTATTAATAATCTGAGATTGCTACAAGGCAATGAAGTGCTTTAGAACCTTGAATTCTAAAGGTTTTAAGCCCTTGTCTTTGTCTCTGACTGCTCTGGGTGTCATTTGGGTTGGATATTGATTCATCTACCCTGTAATGAATGAGTCCCTCTCCTTGCCTCTTAGACTGCATGATGTGCTCAATAACCTGCGCCTGAAGTTTGCCAAGCAGATCAAGCAGTATCGTGAGGAGAATCTGACATTGACAGCTGACTACAAGCGGATTGTGGAGCAGTACAAAGACTTGCAGAGAACAATGAGGTGGGGCTACACTCTGGGAGGAGCAGCAGATGCAGACAATTTGGGAGGTTTTGTTGCTTGGCCTAGAGTTCGGCCCTCAGAACAGATGAAGAACTGTGTTCCTTAAACCAAGAGTCCTGTAAACCTATGTTGGGGGGTGGACTTTTCCTTATGTTGCCTTCAATCAACACGTTAAACTGTAAGCCTGGATTAACAAATCACAATTGTCTGGGTATGAATGTATTTCACAACATACTGAGCCTACCAGCTACACAAGCCTGTTTTTGTACATGACTCTTCCTCATGGCTTGCTAACTGCAACACAAAGTTTTACTAACCATTGTTAAGAGACATAATCTCACAATGTTGCTTTCATCTCATCATTGCCCCACCATGGAGGCAGTTTAAAGTCATATAGGTGGTCCTCGCTTACCGACCACTTGTTCAGTGACTGTTCGAACTTATGATGGTACTGAACGAGTGATACTTACAACCGGTCCTCAAAAGTTCCAGCTGTTGCAGCGTCCTTGTGATCACATGATCACCATTTGTGGCTTTTAGTGCCGGCTTCTGACAAGCAAAGTCAGTGGTATTAAAATACTGGTTTTCTTCTTTTCCTGAGATATTCTGTGGTACAGACAAATTGTGAGTGCTCCTCCACAATGTTTAGGCTGCTCCAAGCATGCCCACCCCACCTCTGGTCACCTGCGCTGTTTTTTACAGTCATTTTAGCTAGTGCAACAGAAGAGACCAGGGATTTAGCTTCCAGAGATCTAGCTTCCGAATCACTACGCGTGTCATCACCCATGAATGGAGACAGAAGTGCTCTTTCAGTCATGGACTTGCACTCAAAACTGCAAGGTCTGTGTTTAAAAACTGCATTCCCCTGTACCCACTCCCACCCTGAAAAGGGTGATGGAGTGTAGTGACTTGATCTCTTCCCCGTCACCTGTCCTTTTTTTAGGCTGGCAGAAGTGGGAACAGTTAGAGAAGTAGCGACTAAAGAGCTGCTTCCTTTTACTACTTTTCTTGCAGCTTCTCTGACATGTATCCAGAAGTCTTCCTTCATCATCACCTCTGGATCAGTCATTGCAGCATTTTGCCTGGTAAAGCAGTGGCTGATCCCTGGGCAGGTAAAGCAGTCATCTGTCAAAATTTGCCTCTTCCTGTTGGGGGAGAAATTGATGATTCTTTTTCTTGCCACCAGGTGATGCCAGGAGAATCCACCAGTTGTTTTCCTTAAGTTGTTGCTATGGTAGAATAAAGCTTAGCAATGAAGGTGGTTCAAAGTATACAGGCTTACACAGCTTGCTGAATGAATCCTGCCATTTGTTCAGTATATTGTCTGAACCAGTCCATCACAGTAAGCCTTATATGTGGTTTATTTGGATATAGGATGTTAGGTGGCCACAGCTATTATGTTTTGTTAACCTGGATGTAGAGTTTAGCATGATAGATGATCTGAGCAATTTAGCTGCATACACTAGGGTCTGAATCTTGGGACTTCTGACTATTTCACTATTGATCTGTACACAAACCATTGTGTAGTGGTACTAACAGTTAGTTCTGAGTACAGATTCAAGTTTGTTGAGTCATGTACCTCTTTTCTTATCTCAGACATTTTGCCATTGTGGATGCTGAACATTTCCTGGATGTATGGCTGATGAATGAAGAAGAGGCCAAGCAGCTGATTCGCAAAGCCTTTGATGCTGACCGTGTCATCCATGCTCAGCAATTGGGGTTGCCCTGGACTGAGCCTGATGGCTGGTTCTTGCACAATGTGGGACCTATCAAGCATACTAAGAAGATGAAATCAGCCAATGAGCTGGCCCATGAGGTGATCACGCCTGATAGTAAGCAAGGTTCCTAAGCTTTTGCTGAGTTCTTCTGCATAAGACCTAGGAAGGTCACATTCTAAAGGCAGCATGATTGATGCAAATTGAAAGAAGTTGCACCACACTGCTAATGTCTGTATAAATGGTTCTGCTTCCATCGTTATAAAAAATGGGATTTATTTGGCAAGTAAGAAGTTGATGGAACATGAAAATCATGAAGGGGAGACCAAAGTGGAGACAATTGCATAGTTGTCTCAGAAATGAGGGATGAAAGCTTGCTTTTTCCCCCCCAAATTGGCAAATTCTGCTATTGCAATACTGCAAATTTCATTCCAGTGGAGGCTAATTTTGTGACATATGTAATGCGGATTATGCTGTCATATCTGGATGTGCCAGTTTTACATACTTTACTCCACTTCCACTAAAACAGATGTATACTTTTCTACAGCTCCTTAAACCAAAAGACCAAATGTATCTTTTCCCAGGATCCCATGGCAGCTTTTGAGGGTAGCTAGGTGTTCTGAGAAAAAGGTACAGCTGCTTTAAAGAGTCGCAGAGAAGTGCTAAGCTCATGCCGCTACATGCTCTGAAGCACCTTTTTGCCTTCAGATCTGAAGGCTGCATAGCTCTAGTAACTTCTCTCTGTGTATTTAGTAATTTCTGCAACTTGGCTATATTAAAAATTGCAAGATAGTGGCAACTTTTGGAGGAGTTTATGGAGGCTGCATCCAATGTTTCAGGGGCCACGTACAGCTCTGGGACTCAATTTTTACAGCCCTTTTCTAAATAATTGGAGGAGTTATCAAGCCCATCCTTCTGATCACTAGTAGCTTCCTCCCTCCTCAAACATCCTGATTTTGGTTTTGTCAGATAATACCTACAAATTTATGAACATACTTGTGACATCGTAAAGGCCAAATGCTGCTTTTAATACTAAAGACTGATTCTTAGGCTGATGCACCTAATACTAAATGTGGTATTTCCCTGGTGTTATGGAATTATAGAGTTGCAGGCACTCCATAGCTGGCCCACCCATCTTGTCTGAGGGATACTGTATGTTGGCTTCTTAAAATGGCATGTATTAGACTTCTGTTTTTTAAAACTAATGGGTAAAGGGGAACAGCTGATCTAATTGGTTTATGTGTTTAGAAAACTTCTGTGTTATGCTGCTGCCTCCAGATTTTGCTTTTTTCTCTAGCAGACCAATCACTTCAGGAGGTCTCTTCCCCATCAGAGGACAGCCCACAAGAAGAGAAGGAAGCTGTCCCAGAAGAGGGTTGCAAAGAGGTTGTGGGAGATGAACCAGAAGTGAAGATGCTCTGGTCTATTTCAAGCAAGACCATCAAGCGCATCCTAGAGCTCCTATGTGATGAGTCGGTGAGCTGGGAAGATGAGGAAACCTGCTTCCTGAGCCTGGGGCCTTGCTGTGCAACAATAACCTCCTAAAGTTATGTCCCAAGTTCAGCTCTAGGAATTAGCCAGACTGGTAATTAATTAATGTTTTCCCTCTTCTGTGTCTGCATCCTTTGCCAGGGCTTCCTGATTGAGAGCAAGCTTCGGGGTCTCCTGCAACCTCTAGAGAAGCCTGATCGCACTCTCATGAAGCTGGACTCCATCTTCACTGTGAGTTCCTTAATTCTCTTGCAGAAGTGGTTGGGAGAGAGGCTGTTCAGGCTGGAGGCCTATGGACTTGGGTCTTTTGGGATTTGGGCCTGTATATGTTATCTTGGTAACTGATTTTCTCCCAGCAGTTGCTCCTATTTACCCCAGGGTAGAGATTTGTACTATCTGCCAACAGTATAAAGTCTCAACCTTTCTTTTTAAGTCTAGCTTTGACTTCTAACTGGACTTCTGATACCATGTAACTAGCTGATCTGTTACCACCTATTTAGCTTTTTATACTTTCCTATAGGCCCTCTCCATTGACAGTGAAGATGATGTGTATCGAATGGTTGAATTCTTCATGAACTTCAAGGTTCAGAAGATGGCAGGTGCACAGGTAATGGAGGCAGGGGCTTCAACCAATGAACATAATGATTTTCAACCTGATGCGCATAGAGGTTTATCTGTACAGTGATTCAACCATCAAAACTTGCTTCATCACACTAGATTTAGCTCTGCTCTGATTTAATTGCCTACTCCCGCCTCCCATGGACTTTCTCTGCGAGATGGCAGTGAAGTAGAAAGGTTCCCCATGTCTGCCCTAGGGAGACTGAGAAACATGAAGAGGTGAAAATAATTATTCTGTCTTAGAATCTTTTTACTTTGCAGTCATGAATTGTACTTTTAACCAATAGCAGCAAATGTTGGGTTATGGTTGCTTTTCACAAAATGTTGGCCTTTTCTTTCATGCCTAATTTCTCTTCATTCATTTTTCTTTAGTGCCTTCCCTCACATATAAATCTCAGCTCCATCAGACTATTGAATGTTCCCTGTATTTCATTGGGATGTATGGCTATAATTCTCCCAGAACACTTCATTTTCTTTTAGAACCTGGAAGCTCTTATGGCAGATACAGTTGACAAAGAAACATCCCGAGATGCAAAGATTATAGGACAAGAGGAGGCTTCTGCAGAACCACAAGAGGAGGATAAAGGCTCCACATTCACAGCACTGCCCATTTCTGCTCTTTATATGCATCCCAATGACATCTTGAAGGCTCTCAAGGCATTTGTGCAGGAATTCCAGGAGCCAAGGTAGGTCTGGATTGCAAAATGGGGCTGATTAGGAGTGTTAGATTTGCCCAAAAGGTGTGGAATGGATTAAAACTAAAGGTTGGTCTGGTAGCAGTGCAAATGGTGCTCATGAGCAGCCAGGAATAGGTGCAAGTTGAAATAAGCAGTGCCACTGAGAGAAAGGATGTACTATATACTATATAGGGCCTTTTCCCAGTTTAAGTGTTAAGTGAGTTAAGTACTGTCCAGCCATCCTTGAGTCGACAGAAAACTGCCAGTATGAAATTACTGCTGTAATTGCCCATCCTTGTTCCTGACCCTTCTGCATATGTTCCAAAGTATTGATTAGTGGTGCTGTCCTAATCATTATTCTTTAGCACATCACCAACTAGGAGGAAAAGTTCTGACTATCACAGCACTGCAGTAGGCATAGCAAGGGACTGACTGCAGGACTGTCAGTCATCTTTAGGCTCCTTCCAGTGCCCCTCCTCCTATACCCCATTCTGTCATAAAACTGAGTTGTTAGGTTGAAAAACAAACACATCCAAGGCACAAAGGGATAAGGAGTCATAAGGAACACTTTTATTTAGGATTTCTCTCCCTTCCTTTGCTTTCTTTATGTAGTCAATAATGCTTATTTCTGTTAGGAGTTGTACTGCCAGCTGAGCAGTCTAATGCTGTTGCATAATTCTAAAAGGCCACCAGCAGATCATTGCTGTGTCTAGTTTTTTAAGGTACAACAGCAAAATGGCAGCAGACACGGCTGACTGGAAGAGAAGGGGCTTGTCTTGATCTGCTTGAAATGACCATAAATATTTTGATCCCACTACTGTCTCTTGATTCACCTGTAACAATGGGGTGGTGAAACATTACACATTTAACCTATCTTGTGGTTATCATGGAGACCTAGCAGAAAAATATTGCCAGGGTATTTTGGGCTAAGTGCAAAAGAGGAAAGACTTATGTGGAGGAACACAAAAGTTTCATGCATAAGGTCCCAAGTTCAATCTCTGGCATCTCCAGTTAGGACTGGGGAAGACCTAGACAGCCACTGCCGGTCAATAGAAATACTACTGCCTCAAATGGATTGAAATGTTTTGAGAATAGAAAGAGAAAATCCCATCTATGCTATTCTGTACTTCTTGGAAGATGCACAAATGATTCAGCAGAGGAAGAAACCAAAGCTGACTGATTAGCAGGATTGGAATAAGAAGCTTGTTGTTGACTGATGTACATTTCTTCTGAAAGCTAATGAAGATTTTATTGTCCTAAATAAATGTTTAGTAATTCCCTATTGTTTTGTTTTATAGTTTTGTGTTTGTGCTGATGTCATGAGCTGTCTAGAATTATATAAAAATTAGGCAAGCTCAGGGGCCGGGGGGAAGCAAACTATTAAATGCCCCATGCATCATAGCCATAGTCTTGTTTGGAGGGGACTCCATCATTGCTATACTTGATGAAGTTTTCATCAAGATATGAACATTGACAAGCCACCATATGCATAAAGTGTCAAAATAGCAGCTCACTATGAGATCTTCATTTTGGCATTGTGACTCAGCCCTGGTCATGCTAATGTCTGAGATGGGGAGAATGGCACAGGAGAATTAAGTAGAGGCCTTCTCTTAGGTTGTGATAAGGAACGTAAAGTTAATGCAGTAGGGAGTTGGCTTGTGTCAGATCAAGTTATTCCAGCCAGTGGATCCTTCCTTCACCTCCAGGGACAGACGGCCACAGATTAAGAAAGCACATGAAGAGCGGGACAACTCTAAAGACTCTGAATATTGGGATGCACTGGCTCATGTTATCCCAGATGGAAAACTGAAGCTGTGGGATACTCTGATTATTGGCTTGCAAAAATACTAGTAAGTGATGGAATCTCTATATCCTTGCCCTAGGGGATAGTAGGGCAGTCTTTGCAAAGGGACATATACAAGGAGTAGACATTTGAGCTAAATGATCTGTGGCAAAGTGTACTAATGTGCTCCTTGCCCCAGAGACTTGCGGTGAGATAGCAGAAGATTTATTTCTTCAGTTTCAGTGAACTTCAATCAAATCCCAATGTAATTCCAGTCTTGTCATCAGTTTTTTAATGAAAATTTATAGAAATGTGAATAGAATATACTGGTTTTTGCTTTTTACTTGGTCAGGTTATCAGGTACTGGATCTTCTGTTGCTCACTTTTAAGGAGTTCATCTATGGCAGGGAAAGGTTGTATTTTTTCATTGAGGATACCTCTCTTCCCCTCTTGCATTCGACCCCCAGGCCATTGAGTTTGACTGATAATGTTCCAATATCACTGGAGGAACAGGGCCAAAAATGTTGGTCCAATGTTTGAGGGGGGTTGGGAAACAAGGCTTAAGGCACCCATGTTGTTTCTCACCCTCCTGACCTCCCCCAAAGGGAAAAATAGACTTAATTTTTTAAAAAAGATATATAGGAACCTTAACTTTCCTCAAGGCTTAAGGCATCCATTTTGCCACAGTGCCTCACTGGCAATGTTTGGTCATATCTACTCCAGGGAGCTCTGAGAATTTTTTGAGGGCAGAAGGTGTGCTGGGAGATCCATATGGTTTACAGGTTGCCCACTCTAAGGCCTGCAGTCAACATCACTGTTGTCCATACTGTATTGAAGGACCTTTCTCTCTCTTCCATCTGTCTAGCCACATTCTGACTCAGAGGGCAAAACTGATTACAGAGACTAACGGGCTGAATCAGCAGAATGAAGAACTCCAGATGCTGCTACAGCAATATTTACGATCTCCAGTGAGTAAATGGGTGGGAGCGTAGAATCATAGAATTGTGGAGTTGTAGGAGACCATATAGTTCAATCATCTGCAAGGTGCAGGAAAACTGATTTAACCCTTTTCAAGAAGTGGCTGTCCAGTCTCTATTTAAACTCTTGTAGAGATGTAGAACCTGCAACGTTCATAGTTAGACTGTTCCATTTTTGTACAGATCACTTTAACAACTTGTCAGTCAGAATGTCACATAGAACCTTGTCAAAAGCTTTGTTGAAATGGAAGTGGATTATATCCCCTTCTCAACTGAAATAGTTATGTTGTCAAAGAAGGAGAAAAGATTTCTCTCTCATTCCCTATTTATGACAAAGCCATGCTGACTCTTAGTAACCATAGGCTAAGAGTCTAGTTGCATATGGCCTGCTTTATTATCTGCTCTAACATCTTTCCTGGTTTTGATGTTAGCCTCCCTGGTTGATGATTATTGGGATCTACTTTTTGTTCCATTTTGAAGAGTGGGACCACATTTGCTCTTTTCCATTCCCTTGGAACCTCTCCACTTACCCTCAAAGATAATTGACAAAGATCCTCATAGTATTTCAGACACTTCAGTATTTTAAGGGATATTTCATCAGGGCCTAGAGACTAGGCAAAGAGCAGTGCAATACAGAATGGGCAATTCATTTTAGTAAAAGAACTGCTGCTATTGCTAGCTAAAGCTGGGGACAGGAATTCAACCCAGCAAGGGAACACTTTTCTTCCTAGCAGACATCATCGGTCCATTGTCTGCCCAGGTATTAATACTGTCTGCAGTAAAGCTGTCAGCTATTCTCTCTCACTCCCCCCTCCCCCTTTAACCAGAACAAGTGCTGCTGGGAAGCTATGATAGTCAATGGCATAGTATTTAGTAGAGGATAACCACTGTAAAAATTCCAGGAAGAGGCCAACCAATATTTATTATAAGCAGACTTTGAAGGGCCATCTTAAATAATACAGAATGTTAATAATTAGTAAGGTTCTATAGAGATCTGGGTTCAAAAAGAGGTTACCACATTTATTCTCATGATCATGCAACAGCAGTGAAGGTAACTGTGTGAGCCAGGAAAAGTTGTGTTCCTGAGAGATGCTTCATGTAAGCAGACAAATGTTTTGAATCACATTTTGCCCTTTAAATCAGGATTTCTGCACAGCCTTAGTAAGTATGGATTTATATTACAAGAGACTTAACTTGAGATTTATATTAAGAATAAAGACATGAGACTATGTGAAGAGCTGTGTTTAATCTGACCAAAGAGACTTTGTCCAGCATTCAGTCCCGTAGGTGCTAGTGGATAGCCTACCAGAAGGATTTGAGCATAGTAGCACAAGTTATTGAGAGTCACTGCCTGTGATGTTGGAGATAATAGCTTTTCTTGTGCATGACTAATTGCCAACAACAGGCTTATCCTCCATGAAATTGTCAAAATTCCTTTTAATACCATCTAAGGCAGTGGCCTTTGCTATAACTTTTGATAGCCTGTTTTATAGTTTAGCTTCATGTTATGGAAAAATATTTTTATCTGTCTTGAGCCTTTTACAATTCAGCTTCATTGGATGTCCAAGAGTTCTGGTTTTATGAACGAGAAACATGTTCTATTCACTTTTTCCAAACTATTATACCACACCACTGCACATCTGCAGTGTCAATGAAGTTGAGCATCTTGTGATGCCAGTCTTGTAAGGGCTGACTTTCCCACCAACATTCAGCTATGCCTGTCAATCTACAAATGAGCTTTTTCCTCCTGTGTGAAACCATGACATTTAGAAAGGGGTTATATTGATTATGGCTGCCCGTGCATTCATTCTGGTAATGAAAAGAAAAAGAAGGTAGATACTTTGGGGTTTTTTTTATTGAAATAAAGGGCAAGGAGTCTTATAAAGTTATGCATGGGTTGATACAGCTCCCCCCCCCCCCCCTTTCTCATACTCCTATAATTTGAGATCATTTTGTGGAAGTGACGGGCAGGAGCTAGACAAGAGTCACAAGAATGGACTGTCACATTGCCAGGCCAGTCACATACCTGTAGCTAGGCCAGGAGATCCCCGGAGAACCTGTTCAGCACCTTTTTTTTTTGCAAAAACTTTCTCACACTGAATCTAAGTTACACTGATCTATATTTATTTGATAATGTTTGTCATTTTCCCAGTAATAAAACTTTCTCCAGGGTAGTTTTCAAACAAAATATTTCTTTAAAAACACAGCAATATTTTAAAAATGTACAAGCTAAATTAGCAGCAAAACCATCTTGACAGCATTTTCTAAAATTTCTAAAAAAGCTTAGGAATAAATCAAATTCAAATCAGTGTGAAAATCCGTCAAAACAAAAACTGTAAAAGAGGATAGAAGGCTTCTGTCCTAGCTTATTGAGTTTCAAGTCGACATAGATACCAGGAGTTGACCTCAACTCAAGGGAGCTTCACTTTATATTTTCTTGAATTCAGTGATGTTAACTATATTCACTTAATGTACTAAGTCAGTTATAATACACAGTATGCCATCATCTGACCATCTCCTTCCTATTGTGCACTGCTCTTTAATCCAAGTCTTACATTTTCTATATTGTCCAAACCCTAAATTGTAACTGTTATTGTGAGAGACCTTGGGGAGGCTGATACAGTAATGGAAGGAATATTAGGCATAAACAACTATGAGATAGAAGGGTCTACTGGTAGTTTACCTCATAAACATCAACTAGTCCAGATGGCAAGAAACCTGGAAGGAATTATTCAAAATGTTTTGATATTCTGCCTTAAGGAATGCACTGAGGATTGAAAATTCCTTTTGCAGTTTGCAAGATTCTGTATTTGCTCATTACTGTTAAAGATACTGTACTGAAGTCTATAGTTCTTGCTTCCATGAACTTGCCCAGCTGTTACGGGGTTGGACAGCTATATGATGACAGGCATAAGATCTAGTAAGCATAAGACTTTGATTGAAGAGTCAGTGTAATGTGGGTTAAGATGCCAGTGGGCTTGTACTTCTTCACCAGACTGTTTCATTTAGTATGTCATGTGAATACATTTACATCCATGGTTATAGCATAGGAGCTGTAATTGAGTATATAGGATGGAGGTAAAACTGGAGCAACTGTTGGTACAAAGCTGGACCAGAGTCTTAGGTTGGGGGCCTGCCTGCTCCCCATCCCATTCCTCCTACCTCAATATCAGCAAGATTGTGGTAAGAGTCAGTGCTGCAGACTGGAGGAGGATCAGGCAACCAGTTACTTCTTCATGAAGCTGTTCAGTCAGTGTAAGACAGTGTTCCTCAACCTCTTCAACTTTAAGCCAGGTGGACTTCAACTCTCATAATTCTTCAGCCAGCATGCTGACTGAGGAATTCTGGGAGTTGAAGTTAATCCATCTTAAAGTTGAGGAGGCTGAGAAATACTGATGTAAGGAATTTGCTGCCACACAATTATCAAGATGATTATTGGCTAAATTTAATCTGAATGGGATTAAACTAATTCATGGGAAACAGTCTGTCGGAGGCCTGAGTTACCTCGAACCATGTTCATAGATAGTATGTTGCCAAATACCATTTTTAAGGGGATAGATTTAGAAAAAGAAGATAGTTGCCTTCATTATCTTTCTTGTGATATTTCCAGAGACTGGGAAAACAGAATACTGGACTAAGTCTGTTTTTGGCTTTTTCCATACAGGCTCTTATGCTCTTATAGGCTTATAGGCTTATAGGCTGAGAGAGAGAGAGAGAGAGGGAGAGAGGGAGGGAGGGAGAGACAGACAGACAGACAGACAGACAATCATAAGCTCCAAAAGCATCCAAACACTTTTTTTTTAATCTAATGTGATCTGTAGATCTTGGGAAGCAGTGCTAATTCTTGCTAAAAGTTATAGTGGACACCTGTTTATGTACCTTGAGATGAAGTACTTTTAAGCATTCCCTTAGCTGAATCTTGAAGCTGAGCTGGACACAAGAGAGCCTTAATTGCTTTGCTTCTCTTTTTTGCAGGTTAATTCTGAGTTGCTCATCCCACCTACCCACTTATTGCATCTGCAGATGAATAACCCATGATAGACTCCTGTGCAAGAGGTGTGGGCTGGTTATTTCCCCAGTATTCTCATTACTTGCTTGGACCATGAATTACAGCCATTCAGGTGAGCCCCACTTAATTCCACAAGAGGGAAGAGCGGGCATAAGCAGCCTCAACATGTGGGTCCCTCAGCTGTTTTGAGGTGCTTGTTTGGAAACACATAGGTGAGTTGCCCCTGACTTAAACTGTGCCACACAGCTGTTTTCTAGCATGATGGCACAGCTGATGTATATAAAGATTTATCTGAAAACTAAGGCACATTTAAATCTCCTTTGCAAACATTCTGACCCATGTCCAAACCACAACTCAATGTGATCTGATGAAGCCCATATTGGCATGTTCCAGAAAAGTGGAAAACTTTGTCCTTCAGAAAATTGTAAGATTTGATAAACTCTGTTTTGATAAACAGAGTGTTTCTGACTCTGGTCATGTATTTTTAGAAAAACATTTCAAAGAATTAAAAGGCAAAATGACGAATAAATACTGGATTACAACACAATTTCTTCTGACTCATCCTTGTTACCTCAGGAGATATGTGTTGAGGCTGGGGTGGGATGACTGCAGTTGGATGGTAGCACAAGCCTCAGAAGACTTGCAATTGCAGCTTTTTGTCATTATGAAATATTTGAAGTGTAATCCCAAAGAACCATTGAATGAATATGAACTTGGACAGCAGCTTGGACTGAAAAAAGAATTCACAAAGATATACTGTAGGACTGAGACTGTGTTTTCCTTGCATTAAGTCATATTGTTTGAGATGCTTTGTTCTGCCATGGTCATTAGTTGTGGAAAGTAACATTGTGTTGTCATAACTCAGTGCTTTGCAGCCTATAAATAATAGCAACGTGCAGATATGTGGCAGACTTCAAGAAAGACAAAGGGGAAGACCAGGTGTCTGGAAATCATATTGTAAGAGAGCACAGAATGTGCTTACATGGCAAAGATGTTCTTGGCAAGAAACTCAACTGAGCATTTCCATAAAATTCTACTTCACGTAAAAAAGTGAGAGCAGTTACTGTTCTCCTAAACTGAAGGCAGCCATCTTTAGTAGCATGGATATACTCTTTAAGAATCTCATGACCAGGAGCACAAGACATTGCAAAAGAAAAGTGGGATCCTTAATTTAGAGCTGCTGTTTTTGATGCAGAATTTGATGGATCTTGACAGCCACGTCAGTTTTCCCCTGCTTCTCCCCCACTCAGTTATTGCACACAAGTCTCTGTTCCTTTCCAGGGATCCATTTTTATTAAAGAATGTAAAGATCTTCTCTTGATCCAGAGATATTTTATTAACAGTGCACAGAGAAATGCCCCTACCAATACCAGACCCCACCCCACAACTGTAAGGAAATAAAATCAATAGTTTTCACACAACCCAGGAAATAATAAGCATGAAATACACAAACTTCACTTGTGCTAGGCTGTGAAGGAGAACAGCGAAAAGGCAATGCAATTGTGCTATATTTTTTCGTAGAAATCTGATATGTTAGAGCTAGGCCACTCACATCTCCTTCCAGCTTGTAGCTCTTTGCCTCTTGACAAGGCAGATTTTTTGCTTGTACTAGCTATTGCAGGTCCCTTATGATACCTTGGAATGGTAGACTTGCTTGTCAAGCACATGCTTGGGAGAGGTATCTAGACGTGTTATGCAAGTCTAACAGACACTATTTATCATTACGAAGAAACTATAAACAGTTGTAGCTGCCCCCCCCCCTTGCATGCTTCTGTAATTGGCTCGCAAGAAAATGTGTTAGTGATCTAAAGTCCACATCCACACCTGACATACACATTATGCCTCCTAGGTACCAGAAGACCAGCAGGCATGGGGGCAGGGTAGCATGTGATAAAACATGTGATAAAACATCACAGTCTGCACTCTCTAGTGCAACATCATGATGCAAATACACAGTGACAGAATTGTGTTGTCACTCACAAGATGCAATTCATCATTTTGGTGCCATCATGATTAGGAACAGATACCTATGATAGCAGGGACAGTAGGTTAAGGAACAGGTAGAATGGGAATGAGATAAATAGCAACTTAGTGTGTTCATATTTGGGAGGTGATGCTTATGAGCACTGGACTATTGAATTAAGAAAGAGGCTCTTAAAGGTCCTCTCTCCTAATTAGAGAGGACTGAATGTGTATGGGGGGATAGATGGGAGATTGAACTAAATAGCTGTGGGCTTTGAGGAGGTACCCAGTTTTGTTAAATGATAATACTGTGAACTGGCTGTGTGAGTTGTCCTTGAGTATCATTGGCATTGCCACAACATTCCCACAGCAAAAGTTGAGTTTAACAGCCAAAGTTGGATCTTTCACTCCATCCTTCCTGCTATAATCCTGCTCACAGGGCTTCACCAGCAGACTCATAATTCAAAACAATATAATTTTCCATTAAAAATGTGACATTATAACCTGCTCTCCAGCCCTGTCATACTCCCTCCAGATATTTAGGCTGTGCATTGTGCAAGAAATGAATTGCTGTGACTGAAAAAAAATTGGACTTTTAACTGGGAAGTTACTTTCTCAGCAACTGATTCTACTTCCTGCTAAATTACAAACCATAAAAAATATCTGATTACCAGCTTTGGACCTGGTCATTAGAAGCTCAAAAGAACTGTTTGACCTTCTGTGAAATGTTGCCTTTCCACAATGTTCTTTTTCGAAGTTTGATTTGCCAATTGTTCCAACTGGAAAACATTAATATCAAGAAACCTGGCTAAAGATCACAGCCAACCCCATTACAGTGGTTATCTAGAAAAATGGAAATTCTTCGTTTCCCTATTTATATTAATGGATAGGAGTATAAATGTGTGCACAGGTGCATATCCAAGTACCATTTCTGTAAAGATTCCAGGATGTTTTTAAAGCAGTTGAATGTTTCAAGACTGAGGGCTGCCTGCACTTTTTATTTAAGAAACAATAAGATTTTGAATTGTGCCAGTTTTCAGCTTATTTTGGTATAATGTGCACCTCACAACAGTGCAAAGAAGGAGCCAAGGTGAGGAAAATAATGACTTGCCTATGACTGTGTATTGAACCCATGGCTTGGAGTCACTGCAGTTCAGACTCTGTGCCACCACATTACACACAACCCCCCCTCACCCCCCCATAGAACAAAATGTTTATTTTCTTTTATTGTCTGACGCTAAGAAACTTCTAGCTTTTCTCATTGTGCAAAACCTTGGAAGACAAGGGTAAGCTTTCCCACTCTCCACTGCAGTAAACTGTTACATGATCAGGGGAGCAGGGAGCAGTCTCTTTTCTCAGTAAAGGGAAACTGCAGCATCAGACACCAAGAAGGCATGCCAAGATTTCTTAAGTAGCTGATCACTCCAAATCTAATATGAACAGGAATCCTTTGAAGTCTCTGCTTCTTGGGGGGACACACTGTGTGACATTAGCAAAGGAAAACAATAACAAAGAGAAAGAAGGGAGAGATGGGATAAATGCAATCCACACAGAATGGAAACACAGTTGTCAAGGTAATTCCACTTAAGATTAATTCATTTGTGGAGGACACTGAACTTGAGGCAACAACAAATAAATGTGGGAGAGGAGGCATTGTTGAAGAGGCTGAAGGAAACTCCTGAAAAGAGAACTTATATTGAACCTTGGGTGGGGGGACACCCCTTTCTCCCCTTTTCAAGTCATAAAGCAAAAATAAAGCAAATTTTGATCTGCTGCTTCCAAAAATCCAAAGAAAACACAAGGAAACCACCAAACAGAAATGATAGGTTGTATCAGGTCAGAAATGGGAGAATGGGGCAGCTGCCTTATGCCCCTAGAAGCTTCTTGACCATGTAACCAGGCATGGAGTAGAGGAAGAGAGCCACCATGATGAGAAGTAGAAGGGCCAGAACAATCTTGATAATTAGCCATTTGTAACGGGTGCAAATGAGGTATCTGATAGACTTGAGTGGGTTCAGGAACCAGATGAAGGATGTGTCTGGACGACTGTGAAAAGGAAAAAGAAAATGTCTTGATGGAGATTCCGTTCTTTGAGATGATTACTTCAACCCTTGTCTGCAACTTACCATCCCAAGACTTATGGCACCCACTGTTCAATAGCAAATTGCTTCTTTAAATATGTCAGAGTTACCCAAATAAGTAAGGTTTGGCACCTTCTCATTTATTCTGTTGTTGGCCTGAAGGCACAAGAAGACTGTTGATGAGAAGCCAAATCAAACACAACTACTAGCTTGTTCATCACCCACCAGGTACTTGACAAATCCTTTTGTTTCAGTTCAGGTACACTGCAAGAAAAGAAAGCTGTCCAAACCTTGGTGGTCCACTATTCATTAATGCTACAGTAAGTCAGCAGAAAGGTCATATCTTGTGCAGAATTGCTTTAGAAGCATTAATAAAGCAGCTTGTGATGCATAATACTGTTGACAGGATGTTGGGATGCAATTCTCATAATGCAGGGCTCAGCCATTTGGAAGAGTGTGTTGGGCTATTCCTCAGACTTTTGTGGGATGCTTGTGAGCTAGGGGTTTTCTGGCTTTCCTTTTCTCTCCACCAAGAATTTTATTTTCTTGGATGTTTAGGGTCAGAATTCAATTCCATGGCTGGCTTTCAAACCTAAGATTCCATTCTACAACCATCTGATACAATCATCAGGAAAACTATCTCTAAACATGTCAAAACCACTCAGTCAATAACATTAGCAAACCCTCACATATTTGGATTGAAGAACAAGAATTCTAACTTCGGGAATGGCAGTATTATCAATCACAGACCTTTAATAGTTTGTAAGATATCTGTTGTCCTTACTTCAGTCTGCCTACATTTACAATGGACTTATTGTGGCATAAAGTGATACTATAAGCATGAGTTAGGTGGAAAAACAGAAATACCCTGGGCATAGAAGGAAGCCTACTCAGGCCCCGAGAAGTTTCTTGACCAGATAGCCAGGCATAGAGTAAAGGAAGAGGCCAACCATAAGGAGCAAGAGAACGAGGAGAAGGATTTTCAGCAGAAGCCAACGATACGTGTGCCAGATAAAGTAGCGGATGGACTTGAGAGGGTTCAGGAACCAGATGAAGCTGGTATCTGGGC